TCCAGCAGTGGACTGTGCTTGTGCCAGAGCTGGGCACCAGCAGGGCAGGGAGAAGACATGCTGTAATGGTTCTGTTTCTCTTTTCAGATGGGAATTATGAAAAAGCAATTGAATGCACCAAAACATACTTGCTCTTCTTCCCAAATGATGAGGTGATGAACCAGAATTTGGCCTATTACACTGCTGTCCTGGGAGAAGATCTGGCCAGGCCCATTGAACCCCGAAAGGTGGGTCACTACTGGGACGAGCCAGCATAGGATAGATTCTGTCCTTTCAGGGCTCTGAGCCCTGGCAGAGGTTTTGTGGGCTGATCTGGGTTGGGTTGCAGTGGGGACAGCAGGTGGGAGAGCTGCCCTGACCCACCCCTCTGCCCCTGGCCCAGGAGATCCAGGCATACCGCCAGCGAAGCCTCATGGAGAAGGAGCTGCTCTTCTTCAGCTACGACGTCTTTGGGATCCCATTTGTGGACCCGGTGAGTGGCACCACACCAAGGCTGGTGGCAGCTGGAGGGGGACTGTCTGCAGGGAAAGGGGATGTGGTATCGGAGGCAGGTCCTCATCCAGCTACTGATGCTGTCCTTGTGGCTGTAGGACACGTGGACGCCTGAAGAGGTGATACCAAAGAGGCTGCGAGAGAAACAAAAGTGAGTGTTTGGCCAGTTGCCATTCTGTCAGGGGTGAGCAACAAACGGGGGCACCTCTCTGCCTTCCTTGGGCTCAAAGCAGCAATTGCAGAAGGAATTATCTGATGCTGGGGCTGGGAAGATTGCTGGAGGGCAGAGCTTGGTCCTTGGGTCACCCCAAGCAGCTTGGGGTAGGGGGTGAGCGCTGCGCTGAGGTGACACCTTCACACCTTGGGCTTTGTCAGCAGCCCTTAGACACAACTTGTCCTGTCCTTGCCTTGGCATGCCTTCTTCCCGACTTGGGGACAGTGGGGCAGTGGAGCTGATGGCCACTGTGTGCCCAGGGTGGAGCGGGAGACAGCGGCGCGCATCTCCGAGGAGATCGGCAACCTGATGAAGGAGATCGAGACGCTGGTGGAGGAGAAAGCAAAGGAGTCTGCAGAAATGAGCAAGTTCATCCGAGAAGGTGCGGGGAGCTCCAGGTCCCGGTGCCAGCCTGAAGTCCCTCAGCACTGCCCCCAGTTCCATCCATACTCCCTCCTGATCCCACCTGTGCTGCAGGTGGCCCCTTGGTGTACGAGGGAGCCAGCGTCACCATGAACTCCAAAAGCCTGAACGGGTCTCAGCGCGTTGTGGTGGATGGAGTCCTCTCAGCTGAGGAGTGCCGGGAGCTGCAGAGACTCACCAACGTGAGCATGGGGAGGCAGGGATGCTGAAGGGTCGCATCCTGTGCCTCAGAAATCAGGTGGGATAACGTTGGCTGGGCCTTGCAGGCAGCTGCCTCGGCAGGGGATGGCTATCGTGGGAAGACATCGCCTCACACCCCCAGTGAGACCTTCTATGGTGTCACCGTCCTGAAGGCCCTCAAGGTTAGCGTGGCTGTGGGTGCCTGGGGCTGCTGCCCCGCTGCAGCTGAGCCCAAGTGCTGTCTGTCCCCCACAGCTGGGCCAGGAGGGCAAGGTCCCCCTGCAGAGCGCCCACCTCTACTACAACGTGACGGAGAAGGTGCGGCACATGATGGAGTCCTACTTCCGCCTGGAGGTCCCGCTCCATTTCTCCTACTCGCACCTGGTGTGCCGCACAGCCATCGATGGTGAGCACGGCCCCAAAGGACTGCTGTGCCAGGAGATGCAAAGCCCCTTCACCCTCTGCCCAGGACCCTTTCTGAGAAGGAATTGTTCCTAATATGTAGCCTGAGCCTTTCGTGGCATAGCTTGAGGCCATCTCCTCTTGTCCTGTTGCTGTTACCTGGGAGCAGAGGCCAACCCCACCTCATCCCAACATCCACACACACAGTGTTTGGAGACACACCCCGTTCCCATACAGACAAAGCAGCACTGATGCACAACCTCTTGTTCCACCCTAGAGAAGCAGGAAGGCCGGAGTGACAACAGCCACGAGGTGCATGTGGACAACTGCATCCTCAACGCGGAGGCCCTGGTGTGTGTGAAGGAACCACCAGCCTACACCTTCCGGGATTACAGGTACCAAGGTGTCCGTGGGGCTGAGCTGCCCTTCTGAGGCTGTTAAGCTTAGCAGCCCCCAGGTGAGAAGCAGGACAGAAGGGCAGCCCAGCTCGGGCTTTCTTGCCTTGGCCTCTTGCTGTGGGTCAGGGTTTGGGTGCCTGGGGTGATGGGTGGTTACCTTGTTCCCTGCTTTCTTTAGTGCCATCCTCTACCTCAATGGGGACTTTGAAGGGGGAGCTTTCTACTTCACAGAGCTGGATGCCAAGACACAGACTGTAAGTAGCTGGGCTCCCTGGAGCTCCACGCACAGCTCCACTGCCAAGCCTTACCCATCCCTGGGGAAAATGCTTTGTGCCAGTGCACGGGGTGAATGTGGGTTTGGGGCTGGCTCTCCCCGTGTCCCCATGGTGCAGCAGGGTCTCTTCTCACAGGCAGAGGTGCAGCCCCAGTGTGGCCGTGCCGTGGGCTTCTCCTCTGGCTCAGAGAACCCCCACGGGGTGAAGGCTGTGACCAAAGGCCAACGCTGTGCTATTGCACTCTGGTTCACCCTGGACCCTCGGCACAGTGAGCGGGTAAGCACCTCACCCCGCTCCCTGGACAGCAGGAGGGTCTTGGGGGCTGCTCTCTGTGGAAGGGTGTGATGTGAGCTCTGGCCCACAGGAGCGAGTGCAGGCGGACGATTTGGTGAAGATGCTTTTCAGGACAGAAGAGGTGGATTTGCTGCAGGAGACGAGCACGGAGCAGGAGCCAACGGCTGCCACCAGCACTGCTGGCTTGCATGCAGCAGGGAAGGATGAACTGTGACAATCCTCATGCAGGGTCCCAGCCCTGCCAGGGCCAGCATCACCAGCACCACGCCATTTGGGACACAGCTGCAGCCACCACGTGGCTTTGGCTGCTCAGCCCTGGGCTGCAGGCTGGGCCCTACTTTGTGGTGCAGCATGGAGAGCACTGCGGCTCCCAGCCCTGCTGTGGAGCTGCCACCAACCTTGAGATGAGCAGCCAGACTTTGGGGGTGGATAGGGGTGAGGAACACGGGGGAAAGGGAGGGATGTTTTTTAGAGTTGAAGACCCAGTGCCATGGTAGCAGTGTGGGGCTGGGAGGGCTGGAGCCACACCAAACGTGCCTTTCTGCTTTGCTTGAGCCCGCTCCCCACCACGGCTATTTAAGTGCCTTCTGCGGAGGACTGGTGAATAAAGGTGTCTTTTCCAAAAGCCCGGCTGTGGGTGCATCCTTGCAGCCATCCTGGTGCCCAGGCGAGGGCAGCAGCCCTGCGCTGCTGGGAGCAGAGCCACTGGGACAGCATATCTATCCGTGCCACAGAGCTGGGGTTTTCTGCCCAGCAGCGCTGGTGATGGGGCACGGCAGGGAGCAGAGGTCATTGCCCCATGGCAAAAGCCTTCTGGTTGCACAGCCTGTAGGCTTTGACCCCAGGTGCTTTAGGATTCCTGCACCCAGGAAATGGTAATGCAACCCTTGCAGTAACCCTGCAACATCCCCAAGAGGGACACAAAAGCTTCATGTTTAGGCCAGAAAGGACCTGGGTTCAGTGGGGGCAGCTCACCCTGTTATGACACCCACTGTCCTGGCCAGGGCTCTGCCCTCTCCCTAAACAAGAAGGACATTGAGCAGCAGCCGAACAGGGCAGTGAATTGTCCCCACACCATTACCATAACCATCTGGGGAATGCGAGCACACGCTCCGAAACACCGCCCGCAAAACGCCCTGCACGAACAGGCAGGGGCCAGAGGGGTGAGTGCCCAGCACAGGGATGGCAGCAGCAGGAGGATGGTTTCTCCCTATGGGTTCCCTGCTCGCATACTGGTGCAGGAGCTGCCTGCTGTCCCCCAGGTGTGGAGCTCAGCCTGGGGCCACAGCGAGCGTGAGCTGACTGCTGATGAGATGGTGGTTAACGATTGCCAGGGTGGCCAGCCCGGCAGGAGGGCAACGCTTGGGCAGCTGCCAGCTCCCTGCACCAGGAAACGGCCACCGAGGGCTCCATGTCACCGAGAGCTCCGTTTCACCAAGGGTTCCATGCCACCAAGGGCTCTGTGTCATCAAGAGCACCAGTGAGAGCTCCAAGCCAGCAAGAACTCCATGCCATGCTCTGTGCCACCAAGGATTTCATGTCATCAACAGCTGCATGCAACCAAGGACTCTGTGTTACTGAGGGCTCCATGCCACCAAAGGCTCCATACCACCAAGGGGTCCACAGCACTGAGGGTGCCATGGCACAAAGAGCTCCATAACACCAAGAGCTCCATACCACCAAGAGCTCCATGCCACTAAGACTCCCACTTCAACAAGGGTTCAATTTCACCAAGAGCTCCATCCCATGGAGGGCTCCATCCCACCAGTGAACTCCCTGTCACCAAGAACTCCATACCACTGAGAGCTCCATGCCACCAAGGGCTCCATAGAAAACTGAGAGCTCCGTGCCATCAAGAGCTCCATGCCGCTGAGGGCTCCATGTTACCAAGAGCTCCACGCCACTGAGAGCTCCGAGTTCCTCTTGGCACGGCCAAATGCCCACTGCCCCGCGTGCCCCCCTCCGGGCAGCACAGCACGGTGTCACACTCCTGCACCCACCCCTGCAGCAGCCCCAGGGGTCCCTGCTCCGATGGCCCCGCGGGGGGGTTCACCCCCCCCACCCCAAAGCCTTCCCCACTGCCCCTCGGCCTTCCTGGGGGTCCTCATCTCCCACATCCCCCACCTCCCCAGGTCCCCATCCGAATCCCTCTTTTCTCGGTAGACACCCGGCACCCCGCTCCGCTCCCTGACCCTCACCACCCACCTCCCCCCCACGGCCCCTCCAGCCCAGAGGAGGGGCTGACGGAGCTCGGGGCGGGACGTGGCGGGCGCAGCCCCGGGCAGAGCCGGGCCGGGCCGGGCCGGGCGCAGCGCGGCGGCGATGGGCGGCGGAGCGCGGGAGCTGGCGGGGTACCTGGCGGCGTTGGGCGGGTGGGTGGCGGCTCTGGCCGCCGCGGCTCTGCCCCAGTGGAGACAGAGCTCGTACGCCGGAGACGCCATCATCACGGCGGTGGGGCTGCACGAAGGGCTGTGGATGAGCTGCGCCGCGCAGAGCACCGGGCAGGTGCAGTGCCGCCTGCACGACTCGCTGCTCTCCCTCGACGGTGCGTACAGGGGGCGGCGGGCATATCCCTTCCCTCGGCGCTGAGCCCCTTCCAGGGGGCTGAGCCAACCCCCGCGGCTTTGAGCCAGCTCCTCCCCACTCCCCAGCCCGGGTCCGAGCCCCCTTACTGCCCTTCCCGCTGATCTGAGCCATTCTGTGGGTCCCGGCCCTATGCCCCTTTTTTGAGGGGAGAATAGGGTTTGAGCTCCCCTTCCCAGCTCTGTGAGAAGAGCCCACCTTCCCCCTGAACATCCGAGCCCAGTGCATGTCAGAGCTCTCTTCGTTCCTCTGTGGGTCTGCATCCTGCTGTGGGTCTGAGCCCCTTGTGCTTCTCTCCGTGCTCCAGTCCCACTTTGTACCCACAGTTTGAGCCCTACTGCAGCTCAGAGCCCCAGAGATAATGCTGAGCCCATCTCTTGGCCATGGGCTTAAAGCCCTCACCCTCCCCAGTCTCTGTGGGTTTGAGCCACACGGTGGGCATCAAATTTGGGAATGGCAGCTGCACAGTGGGGACATTGCAACCCTGGGGTTGTGCACAGTGTTGGGGACTGTGGTGAAATTGCAGGCAAAAGAGTTTGGAGGGAGGAGGAAGAACATGGTGGGGAGGAAGGTTGAGGCCCCAGTGCTGAGAGTGAGTCGAGCTCTCCTTGTTCTGCCATGGATCTGCATCCTGCTGTGGGTCTGAGCCCCTCGCTCTTCTCTTCATGTTCCAGTCCTGCTTTGCACCCACAGTTTGAGTCCTGATGTGGGTCAGAACCCTGCTGTAGATCTGATCCCAGCTTGTGCCCATGGGTTTCAGCCCCTTTGTCTTTGCCCCCAATCCCTGTGGGTTTGATCCCGACAGTGGGTGCCACGTGGGGACATCACGACCCTAGGGCTGTGCACAGCATTTGGGGATGGTGCTGCTGCTGAAATTGCAGTGAGAAGAGCAAGAGGGAGGAAAAAGAGGGTGGTGAGGAGGAAAGCTGGGGACCCTGGTGTTGAGAGTGAGCCACGGTCTCCTGGCACAGTGCCCCAGGCACAGGAGCTGTGAGTGGCCCTGCACAGTGAGGACAGGGTTAAGGATAAGGTAACGGACAGGGCGTTAAGGACAGGTCCATCCCAGTGGGAAGAGAGTTCACCCTGCAGTGCTGCGAGCAGCGTGTTTCCCCCTGCAGTTCACATCCAGACCTCCCGGGCTCTCATGGTTATTTCTCTCCTCCTGGGTTTCTTCGGCATCATCGTGAGCGTCGTGGGCATGAAATGCACCAAGGTTGGTGAAGAGGATCCCATCACCAAGAGCCGCATCGCTGTTGCTGGAGGTGTCCTCTTCATCCTCTGCGGTAAGCCGCTGGGCAGCTGCAGCCTTTGTGCCTCTTTGTTGCAGAAAAGCTCCAATAGCCTTTCACAGGAGGGAAGTGGAGCTGTTTGGCAATGAGTTGGGCATTGCTGATGCTCAGTGTTTGACACCCAGGTCTGTGCACGTTAGCGGCCGTCTCCTTGTATGCCACGCAGGTCACCTACGAGTTCTTCAGTGCCAGCACTCCGATCAACGCCAGGTAGGAGCCCGCTTGGGGACACCGCTTCCCTGAGCTCCTCTGCATCCCTGGGGCTGCCCTGTGCTGGTTTGGGCACCGTAGTGTGGTAGGCAGCGGTGACACGCAGCCCCACTCCTCTTTGCTTTTCCCATCCCTGATGCTGTACCAACCCTTGTCTCACCGCAGGTACGAGTTTGGCTCGGCGCTGTTTGTCGGCTGGGGGGCTGCCAGCCTCACCGTGCTGGGGGGCTCCTTGCTCTGCTGCTCCTGCCCTGCCAAGGAGCGCCAAGGACAGCAGTACTACCGACAGTCGCAGCCTTCCACAGCCCGGGAGTACGTCTGACCCCAGCCCTGTCCTCCCACGCCCTCCCCTCCCAAGAGCAGGCACGGCCCCGCTGTTCCCACAGGGCGCACAGCTCAAGGGCACCACCAGAGACTTTTCTTCTGCTGGGGATGCACCAGTTTCTCAGGAGCTTTTCCAGGTTGCAGCGCAAGCCTCTAAAATGGGCTGTTGGTCAGAATTCCCCATATCCAGCACCAGCAGGCTGCAGGGGCTGCACCTCCGCCCCCAGCCCTGCGCTACTGGGGCTGTGGGTGGCTGGGCCGTGCCCCAGTGCCCAGAATGGGGTGCTGGGGGTGGGCTGCACAGAGGTGCTTTGTGCTGGGCCACCCCACTGCGTGCGGCTGTCCCCATGTGCCCCTGCATCTCCTGCAGCCCCACCTCTGGGTTTTCCAGGGAAAGGGATGCTGCCAAGCGGTGCTGGACGGGCTCAGCGTCCCCGTGCCCCAGCTTTGGTGGCTTAGGAAACATTCCTGCTTTCAGGGTGCAGGTGTGCTCTGCGTGGCTGCTGCCCCAAAGCGCTATTTGTATTAATCATTCTTGATGTGAGCACACGAGGAATGAAAGCACGGCGGTTTGGCGGTTGCTGGTGCTCCAGCTGAGCTCTGCCAGCTAAAATCTGACCCGGGTGTATTTCTCACCAGGAGCAAGTATGTGGCCTTGTTAAGCAGGAGAACAAACTGGTGTTGGCCAGGTTAAAGCAGGCAAAATGGGGACTGTGAGCACAAGCAATGGTTTGTTTTTACTTTGGTGCCCAGCGTAGCTGCTTCAGTTAACTCCAAGATGGACAAACCTGTGAATTTTGATGTCTCCCCACTGTTTCCAAATGCCCCTTCCCCAATAGGACCCGTGAAGTCTTTTAGGCTCAGCAGTGCTAACTGCCACCACCTCTGTGTCCACGCCGTGGCTGTTACTAACACACCAGCTCCAGTTCTCCTGTAGATCCTCTGAAGGCCTGGTGCTGCCATCTGTCTGTCTGCTGTATGTGGTATGCCAGCTAAACCGCAGGAAAAGAAACAGTGGAAATGTTCCAAGGAGCCTGGCTTTGTGGTTTTGCCTTTTTTTTTTTTTTTTTTAATTATTACTTTATAAATCCTCACGTAGCTGATTTCTCCCTGGTCTGCTTTACACCCCTGTGCTGCTCTTGTTCTTGGCGAAATGTGGCCACCTGTCCCAAAATTAACAGTCGGGGCAGCACCTCCCCATGCAGGGGGGAAGCAGAGCAGACCCTGCACTGGGGGTTGGCTCCTGCGAGGCAGGAAGGACTAACAGCCATCTCTCTCTTTTGCGTTGCAGACCCCATGTAAAAATATCGTCAGCCATCAGGGGAGAGCAGTGCTTGTAGTGTCTGCACCGTCAGGGGGACTGGTGCTTGGTTTCCCCTCAAAACACACCCCAAAGCTACTGCAGTGAGGATTGGGAAGGAAAACCGTGCTTAAAAAATACGTGTGTCTGAAGTGTGTTTTTATATACAGAGCGCAGCATTGTGTAGAAGAATGTTTTTATTCCTTTAAGGTAAACCTGCATTAACTTCTCTGTGCGATGAACGCCGTGGGAGCGGCGCTGTTTGGGATTCCTAGTTTTGGGGTTTTTTTTTCAGATTGTTTGTACTAAAAATTGTGACTCCGTTGTATTAAAATATTTCTGACTACGGGTGTCCCTCTGAAGTCATCTCTTTGCCCTCCATCCCAACGGGCCTCTTCCCATCGCCTCCATGCCAGTGCTGTGGGGCTGAGGCCTTTTCCCTGTGCTGGGCAGTGGGTCTGGGGAGGGCAGTAGGGATGGTGGTTTGGGCAGAGGGTTGGGCTGAAGGTGTCTGCCTGCTGCTGGCTCCTAGGCGAGAACCACCTCCTCTCAGCCTATTGGAAGGCACTTGGAATAAGTGTGGCTCCTGAGAAGGCTTTGAGCCACCGTGAAGCAGAACTTTGCAGCTGTGGCCAAGCAGGTGCTGTTGCTCAAACGGTGGCTTAAAAGGTTGCTTAATTTAAGCCTAAAGCACCTAAATCCCATCGGACTGGCCTGGCACTGCACCCCTGTAGCCACGGCCTGGGCCCTCAGCAAGGCCCTTCCGCAGCCTGGCGTGGGTCTGTCCCAGCACGGCCCTCCCATCACCTCCCATTCCTCAGCTCAGCCCTACAACAAAGCCCTCATTGCAGTCACCCTGCTGCGTGTGAAGGAGACCCGCAGGGTTTAATCTCTTTTCCGAGAACTCGGGGCTGGGCTGCTCCTTGCTGTGCTAATTGAGTTGATTCCTGCTTTTGCAGCACCTGCTTTTCCTTGGCACTGCTGGAAGCCCAGCGGTTTTGCCCAGCTCCCCTATCTTCCTGCAGCCCCTGGCTCACAGATTTGTTCTGTTCTCCCCAAAACTCTGATTTTGGGAACTCCTGTGACGTTACCGCAGGCTCAGTCCCATGGCTCTCTGGGATCAGCTGCCCAGGCTGGAAGAACATAACGGAGGGGGAAAAACAGCTGAGCTGCAGAAGTAATTACATGTTTGGGGGCACAAAGGCCCCCACTGTCCTCCAGACAATCCCTTGTGTGTTTTGCCCATGGCAGAGTGGAATTAACTATGGGAACAGGCTGCCAGGCTTGGGGCGGCCCGCAGCGTTGCATGCGATGCGTGGGATCCACTGCCATCCAAATCACTAACAAGAGCACTTTAGTGGCTTTCTGTCCCCACTCCCTCTTTCTTTTTATCTTACAAAACCAGTATGATGCAGATGTGATTTTCATCTCATCTTCACTGACCAAGGAAATGTTTTTAATTATTGAAAGACTGATATTTTTACCCCTCTACCTGTATCTTTTCAGTGCCCAAAACATTTCAACTGAGAATCAAACAGGTGGGCTCATTCCATATATAGTAAATCCATGGATTAGAAGAGTAAAAAATAAAAACAAAACCCTTTTCTGTGTCACCAATGCATACACGTGGAGAACATACCAGAATTTCAGCCGTTTTGTGGATATCTAAGTACCACAAATAGAAAATTTCTGAGATCTAAGTTGGAAAATGAAGGTATACAAACCCTGCTGGAAGATTTCAGCCCTAGTTCACCACTGCATGTACAGGTATGCTCAAGAAAAGTCTTGCCATGAGCCAAAATACCATGTGAAACACGATAATCTGAAATAAAGCCACAGCAATTACTCATGTCAAGAACCTGGGTGCCTCTGCAGGGCTGAATCTCAAGAATTTGAAGGAGTGTGCAGCACTCTGCCAAAACCCCTGTAGTTCAGTACTGCAGAGGATTATTTAAAGGGGGAAAAAAAATAGTAATAAAAGTACCTCTCTTAAACATGTCCCATGACTTGAAAATACATACATGGGGTGATGTTTCCCACTGACCCATGAGATGAGAGCACAGATACGGCTGACAGCTTATGCTAGAGATGCTCAGAGGTTGCTGTAACAAGATGCTTTGCAAGTAAGCAGTTTTTCTGGGTAGTAAGGAACAAAACTGAAGTATTTGTGCAGCACGAGGCAGCTGAGGTGCTGCTTTCGAGGGTCAGCAAAAAGCCCACAGAAATGCCTCTGGCCAAGCAGCCACGTTGTCTGAGCTGGAAACCACCGGAGAGGAGTGACTGTGCATAATGGCCTGGGAGCCCCCACACGGCCTGGAAATGGACAAGTTTTACAGGCTGCATTAAGTGCCCCTGTGAGGCTGTGTCCTTTTCCTGCATCCCTCCCTTGAAAGCTTTGAATTCCGGGGGAGCCTGAGAGATGATCACAACCTTCTTTGAACAGAACCCCCAGGATCCGTGAGGGGTCCCGTCGAGGTTTTGCTGCCTCTGGGTTGACCTCTCTATCAGTTTGAAACCTATGAGATGTCTTTGGAAGATGGGAAATGCTGAACCATTTCACAGCTGGGAACCCAACGGGTAGCACTAAGGGTTTGGAATTGCCCTCCCTGCAACAAACCGCATTTAACTTCTTCCTCCTGCCACCCCTGTCTGTCTGCCTCTGCTGCACCAGTGAGATGGAGCCAACACAGCTCAGGCCACTGGCCCTTGAGCACTAATTAAAAGGTGTGATTAAAGAACAGGGGACGTTTGCCCAGAACACAGAGTCCCCCACCTGGAGAGTGTTTCTCCACATCTCCCACAGCCCCAGCTGGTTCCCACAGGTGTCAAGATGTGATGTTTTTTGGAGGCCAATCTCTGTTTCCAGCCAATTACCATTTAACCATGAGGCCCCCCGTTGTGCCTCAGCACACAGAGTACTCTGACATGCTCTAGAGAAGCATTAAATAGCCCAGCACAGATGTGGGCTCGCAGTGCTCTGTGGGCATTGCGTTTCCATTGGGCACCTTCACATCCCATCCAGGTGGGACTGAATCCCACTCTGGGACTTCATATGGCTGCGCCCCAGTGAGGATGAGCCTGGATGCTGTGATGAAGGTAAGGCTTCCGATTGGACAGGGTTCTGTGTGCAGTGTTGCTGGTAGCTGGATGGTTGGACTGGGTGATCTTAGAGCTTTTTCCACCCTCTATGATTCTGTGTTCTGGATGAAGGCAGAAGCGCTCCCCACGCAGCTCCCCTTTGTCCCAAACATCATTAATTTCCCATAAGCCACCTCCAAGCACAACAAAACTAGCAGCTCCAACACCTGCTGCACCAGCCAAAGCTCCAGCAGTAAAACTAAGCTGTTTTGGAGTTACCCAAACGCAAACAATGACTGAGCGTTTCCTATAGAGAAGGAATTTTTTTGTTGTTTTTTTGTTTTGTTTTGTTGTTTTCCTGACTTAACTTAAATGGCTGAACGGATTTTCTTCAAAGCCTGCAAAACACCCAGGGTCTTGGGGAAGGAAGAAAAATTGTGGGGAGTTGTGGGGTGGCCTGGGAGGTTTAATGGAGCATTATAAAGTGAGGTCTAAGTGTGTCAGTAATAATGTTAGTAAGAAAGGGTAAAAAACAAACCTTGAGGGGAGCCTCTCTGCACACAGTGGCTGCAGCTTCAGGCACTGAAGCATACGGCAGTGCCAAGATTTGGGCTGCAAAACACATTGAAGTAGGAGTCTTCTCCAGTCTTTGGAGATGATATGTCCTCTGCTCATACCTTCTGTACAATTGCTTTCTCTGCAAAGTCCCTTCAATTCTGGCAGTGATGGAAATCAGATTGTTCCATCTCCTTTGCTCTCTGGAAATGCTTAGCTGCACCCAAAGGCACCCACATTAAGCCACAGCAGCCCTCTTTCTTTGGGCTTAGCACCTGAGAATTGGGCACCTCCTTGGGACACTCCCACGTGTTCCAGTTTGGGTGTTTTGACACTTCACAGCTTTTCTTAAAAAGGAATTACAAGGAAAGGTACTGATGAAAGCATCAAGAAAACCTTAGGATATCAGGAGATACATGCTCAAATAATGGGGTCTGACTACAGCGGCTCTTTGACGATAGTTTCCAAGCAGCTCTTGATTCCCGGAGGGGCAGTGCTGAGGGTTATGGACTTATGGAATCCTCTAGTCTGGAAAATGCCTTCAGGGTCACCAAGTGAAATCATCAAGTTCACCTACCAGGTCCTATCACTAAACCCTGTCCTTCGGTGCCATGTCCACATGTGTCTGAAATGCCTCTAGGGTTGGGCACTCCAGCTCTCCACTGGGCGGCCAGTTCCAGTGCTTGACCACACTCCCTATAAAGAATTCTTTCCTGATCTTCCATCCAGCCCTCCTCTGGCACAAGTGGAGGCCATCTGAGCTGCTCTTAGGGATCCAGAGGACACGCTGGCCCAGGCAGTGGACAAGGTACCTGGGAGGCAGCCAGAGCAGAGGCAGCAGGCATCTCCGTGTTCCCTTGCAGGTGTCTCCATGAGTACAATCTTGCAGATGACAGCGTTTGGTCTCACTCTCCTCTCAGCCCTATTCCTCCTCCTTGCCACATGCACTGACTGCTGGATGGTGAATGCTGATGACAGCTTGGAGGTGAGTAGAGCATCTGCATGTTCATGGCTGAAAGCTAGGTGAGGGCCTGCTGGTCTGCTTTGCTGGGCTGGTTGTGGGTGTCCCTGTTCATTGCAGGGAAGTTGGACCAGATGGCCTTTTAGGGTCCCTTCCAACTCAAACGATTCTATGATCCCTGAGGAGCAGAGGTGCTTTTGAGTGCTCTTTGGGCATCCTTTCTCTTGCTTCCAGGTGAGTCACAAATGCCGGGGGCTTTGGAGGGAATGTGTCACCAACATGCAGGATGGGGTGAGGACCTGTGACCAGTATGACTCCATTTTGGCAGACCATCCAGGTAGGCCAGTATGGTCTGGGTGGGAGCATTACTCTGCAATATCAAGCAATCCATTTCCAGCACCGTTTGCCTATTCCACCGAGTCTCTTTAACCTCTTGTGAACGCCCAACAAGGCATCTTTGAGTTCACAGCTAAGAGTTTTCCCTCAAGAAAAAGATCCTCATTGTGTAGGGTTGACCTTGATGAGAAACTCAGGTCCTCGTCCTATATATAGAGAGAGTGAGAGAGAGTGAGTGACATTGTGGGATAATGTGATTCTATGGACAAAGATTTGGACACTGAAGAAGGGAACCAGAAGTTAGCATGGACCAAGTGGGGATTTAGGGCTTTTCAGGGAGAAGTCATGAACAGATGGCAATGTGAGCAGGTTCAGACAGCAGCATCTTCTACCTAAGCCAACATGCAGGATAAGCCAAGAAGGTCTTGAGAAAATGACCACATTCCAGATCCTGAATGGTGCACCTTAAGTTGTGTGGTTTCTTAATAATGGACTTATTGAGTCCCATTGCAAAGTTTCTGATGAGGCTGGTGAGCACACAGCGAGCAGCAATGCTGGACATTGGTGTCCCCATGTCACCATATCCTATAGAGGTGCCCAGCAATGATAGAATGGCTTAAGTTGGAGGGGATCCTGCCTGCCTGTGGGCTGGGTTGCCACCACCAGACCAGGCTTCCCAGGGCTTCATCCAACCCAATCTAGCAGTGAGCTGGGTAAGTCCAGGAAGGACACAGGCAGCAGTCTGGAGAGGGGCACCACTTCCTCTGACCACTCCTCAGTCCCCTTTCTGCTTTTTGTTCATTTCTCACCAGTGAAGATCGTGGTGACACGAACGCTGCTGATCACGGCGGACCTCCTGGTGGGCCTGGCTTTGGTTGCTTTGCTCCTTGGGCTCGACTGCATCAAGTTCCTCAAGGAAGAACCTTGTGTCAAACTGAAGATGTGCTATGGGGCTGGTGTCATCCTCGGCATTGGGAGTGCGTGGTCAGGAGCATTCGGGGACAGCTGGGGCACAGGGAGCCAGAGGAACCTCTTGGAGGGCTTCTGGGAAGTAGGAGGTTCTATGGTTTGCTCTTAACTGGCCCCATTCCTCCTAGGTATCCTGGGTCTCGTGGGCTCTGTGTGGTATGCAGTGGATGTCTACGTGGAGAGGGCCATGCTGGTGTCCCATGATCTCTTCCTGGGGGTCCACTATGACTTTGGGTGGTCCTGCTGGCTGGGGATGGCTGGCTCAACGAGCTGCTTCGTGGCATCCGTTCTGCTCACGTGCTGCCTCCATGCCCACACAGGTCAGTCTGTGTTGTCCTGGGCTGCCCCATCCCACACTGAGTCCTGCAGGGATATACCTGGGGCGGACAACTCAGAGGGTGCAGGCGCTTCTTGCAGGCTGCAGCCAAATGAAGGGCAGTTGGCATTTGCACCCTGGCTGGGGGGGGACTGCATCGTGCCAAGCAGAGCCCCATAGGTCCTGTGGGGGCACAGGGGGAGTGCAGAAATGCTCCACTCCCTCCCAGGGCATCTGGAGGTCTTGGTGGAGGTGTCAGCACCAGGTTCATTTCTGTGTGTCACCATACCCGTGGCACAGCCATGCAGCAGTGACACACACACACAGACACACACTCTCTCTCTCTCTCTCTCTCTCTGAATGCAGTCCTGTTTCTCTCCCACCAGCCCCCAGCCACCCTCAGGGACCTCAGCACCGTGTTGTCACCAGCAAGATGTACACCATGAACTCCCGTGTGTGATGGGCAGCAGCACCTCCCAAGGCCAACGACAGTCCCACCTCAGTAATGCACCTCCACCTACATGGGACAGCTCAGCAATGTCATGCAGTAAGATAGAATGCTGAAGCCTTGGGGAATGGAATCGTTTGAGTTGAAAGGGGCACTTCGAGGTCGTCTTTTCCAACTGCCCCGCAGTGGACAGAGTGCTTTAAGCTCCTGTTGTACCCTGCAGCTGTACCAGCAATGCTTGTTGCTTCTGAGGGAGCAGCAAATCAGCTCTCCACTCACTGCCACATCGCTGCAGTAGAGGAATTCAGCGAAAAGCCTCATCTGCACAGAGCAACACTGACTCCACGTGGCTGCCGGGCCCGGCAGAGCAGCAGGCAGTGCGACACTGAAGCTGCTGGCCTGGAGCGGTTATTCACATGCCACTCCATCCCTGCGTACAAAGCAGTCTGAAAAATAACAGGTTCTCTTTCTGCAAAGCTGGGTGTTAAAGCCCACACGTAAAGGGTTATTTTCCAATGATTATCCTTCTTCACTCACAAACCACTTTGAAAACAACCAGAACCACAAACCAACACGCTCCCCATTGCTGAGGTGGATCTCCCCTGATTTCGAGCTCAGCTTATAGTCCAAAGGAAGGGAAAGGGAAAGCCTCGCGGCCCTGCAGTCACGGCGAGCTGCTGTCCAACAGCTCCGCGGTTCAAAGAACGGCTCTCTTACAGGAGGAACCCGCTGCTCCACTGGGCAGCTGGAAACGCTGAAAGGCATTTAGAGATAGAGCACAACCCAGACGCGTCGGGCTGCTAATGGCTGGCGCTTGAGCACACAGGAAAGCAATTAAGAAGAGCAAGCATTAGCATGATAAAAGCAGAGCGCTCATTAGCGGGTAGAAAGGGAAGCCACAGGTCGCACTCAGAGCTGTCCACGGTCAGACCCAGCGGGCGCATTCATTGTGCTCCTCCCGTACGGCTTTCGCACTGACTCACCTACGGAAGCAGCGCTTCCACGTGCTGAGCCAAGAGCAGCAGCGCTTTGCACCACCCCAGGTGAGGAGCGTTCCCCTCTCCCCCTCCCAAAAAGTTTTGGGAACAGTTTGATGACCTCACGCACCTCACCACCCTGTGGCTTTTACCCCTGAGCAGAGCTGAGGGCACAAAGTCAGCAGTGCAGGAGCTCTGCGGTTTCGATATTCAAATACTTAATGCTGAACAATTAAAGCAGTTTTTCCCAAAGCCAACGCTCAGCTTACATGTTCTCATGGAGGTGGGTTTGAAAGAACCAAGAGCACACTGTAATTAACTTTAAGACCTTTATTAACAGATGCTTGCAGTTTGACTTGAAAAAATCAGGCGTACTTTTCATACAAATTAAAAATGAGGTTCTTAAAAATCTCAACTTGACCAGATATGAAACAATTTAAAAACCTTTAAAGGTGTATTGAGAAAAAACAGACTTTTAAAAAACGTGTTTATTGTTTCCAAAAGGAGACTTCTTTAGGTAAAAATAATAAAAACCCCATGCTGCATAGATAATGCAGATAGTTCTAGTAATCTGGTCAACAGCAAAAAGCAAGCACTTAAGGTCTTCAGTTCCAATTCTTTTGTTCATTTCTTATTGCTGGAATTTCATTTTCTTTTCTTCTTCATTTCTTAAGTCTTTTCTTTGATGACTAAACTGAAAGAAAGAGAAATAAAGGATGATCAGACATATCATCACATGGAGATGTTCAGCCTACCAAGGCTCACCTACAATTTAAATTCATGCTATGTTTTCACACACACAAATCTTATCAACTACAGGTCTTCAATCAGTGCAACACATCAGCTGTGCAGGGATGGAAACTGGCAGCTTCCATCACAAGTGAGTGCAGAGGAATCCAGGAGAAAGAGCACTCATTAACACCCTCACCAGACCCTCTTAGCACCAATACAGGCCTGCCTGCCTTTGAAAGCAAAGAACCAGTGTCTACAGAAGACAGAATGAGCATCTAGCTCTGATTTCAGCAGGGACCTCTATGCACTCCACGCAGACAAGCAGCTCCAGCAGTGCCTCTACATAGCACAGTGAGGTTCCTGCAGAACACACCTCCAAATGCAGGCACACAGAGCAGCCCCTCCACCACCATTTCCAGCCCTTCTCAGGTGAGAAGCTCCTACCAAAATGCTCCTGCAAATTCAACATCCATTTATGAGAAACAGATGTGTAGAGGTGGTAAAGCCAACCACAAAGGGCAATCAAAGCTACAATGGTGGCAGGCCTGAGTAATACCTAGTGTCTGTGCACACCTGTTTCTCCTAACAGAACTTTTTCAGGTCACCATACCAGCATCAAAATGCTTCTTGTGGTTGACCTATGATAGCAGAGAGCAATTGAGGTTTTAAGATTAGCAATATTCTATGCATTTATTCCGCCAGGGAAAATTAAAGCCTGGTAACAGAGCCCTCCCAGTTAACCAGTTCAGTTCTGCAGAGCCAGCAAGCTGCGCAGCCACTTCAGTTACAACACACATTAGCACCATTAACACGAGCCCTGCAAAGCAGAACTCAGGGGGAAGCATCAAAAAAGAGCCCTCCATCACATCGCTCCTCCAGAGCACCCCGACACGCACCCGGATGATGGTAGAGATGTTAAGCCGGTATTTACTCAGCCCCGCCCTGCTCGGCCTCGGGAGCGGACGTGTTCTCAGCTGGTGGTTCGGCTGTCTTCGTCTCTTTGCCATCTTGTGGTTTAGGGTTCTCTGGGCGTCTGCGTCTGTAGTTGAAGTTACGACGGTACCGACGTTGAGGTGGCTGCTGACCTTGGGTCTCATCCCCTTGGTTCTCTTTATCTTCTTCGTTTCCATCCTCTCTAGGCTGTCTTTGACGAGGAGGACCCCTGAAAGTCAAGCTGGGCTTTAACAATGCAGCATCTGAGCACCGCGATGTTCCGGCTGTGTTGCTAGAGCACAAGGCTAAAGCAAGAGCTGATCTGCAGCATACCTGCGGAATCGTGGTCTGTAACCTCGATACATGTTCTGCCTGACTGGTCTGCCTTGCTCTCCTGCACCTTGGTTGTCAGCACCCTGGAAGACACGAGGCAACAAACACTCTTAGCCAGGCAGCCAAACCACAGAGGGCTGCAAGGTGGACAACGGCCTCAGTGCACGACAGCAGGCACCACACAGAGCTTCCTCTTTGCCACATTACTCGTAACAAAAGTTAACACACATCTCAAAACACTGCTTTCCCCACAGCTGTACCGAATACCATGCCAACAGATGCTCAAGCATTTTATCTCACTGCTAAACCTTACAGAGCACATCTCCAGCATCTGGAGCAGGATGATAAAACACAGCTCTGCACAGGAACCACATCATGTGCGTTACCTCCACTATCTCTCCCTGCACGGGAGGGTTGGAATATTGTGGTCGACGCCCGTAGGGCCTACGCATGTAGTAAGGTGGGTACCGCCGCCTGCGATAGGGACGGCGCTGCTGGGCTTGGCCTTCCGGGATGTTCTCTGCTCCTTCGTTCTTCTCCCCACTCTCACTGTTCTGGTAGTTTTGCTGGTAGTTGCGTGGAGGACCCCTGCGACGCGGATATCGTCTGTAATGGTTACGGTCTGCTGCGTATTTGCTGCCTTGCACTGGAACGCCACCAGGCCCTGTCACATTCGCTGCCTCCGCACCCTGAGGAGCAGAGAGAGCGTTAGGTAAGCAGTGAGCGCCAAACCAGCGCGACTCAGTGCCGATTTGCATCCCCATTTGTAAAGCAACGAGCAACCACTCATCTCCCTGGATGTCACCAGGCATCTACTCAAACCACAACACCACAGCAGAGCCCGCAGAGCGGCTCTTCCCTGCATGCTCCAACACCCCAGATGCCTTTACCTTCTCTCCTTCAACCACATCAAACTCCACGGTCTCTCCGTCTCCTACGCTGCGGAGGTACTTCCTGGGGTTATTCTTCTTTATGGCAGTCTGACAACATAATATGGCAAAGTTACATTCACAGGCACAGCAGGAAAACGCTACTGAGTGCATTCGAAGTTTGTGTTGGTGCTCTGGAAGGAGGGAATCTAACTGTTTGTTAAGACATCCTCCTGGACAAGTAATGAAGCCACAGAGGAAACTCAAAGCCAGAAGACGTGTGTGCTTTACTACAGCTCTGGCCTACCAGGAGCACTGCGCAGCCTTAAAGCTGTCCTGGAACATCTGCCCATATGCTTCCAGTTGGAGATACAAAGCAGCCCCCAAACAATGCAAACTGTTTCAGAAGTTTCTCACTAAGCACTCTGTATATTCTTATTAGGTGTATGGACTGATTAAAAAAGCTTATTTGGGATTATTTCCTATGCTGGTCAGCAGCGGACTGCACTTCTGACAGACAAGTGAATGCTCTGTAAGCACAATTCTCAGCCATGTTCTAGTCAGCAAACACTTTTTAAACAAGCGTCACAACTTCACAAATTAATGTCAGCAACAGAATTCGGGTCTGTTTGTTCCCTTGATGGAATAAAATCCATCAGAAAATACATCCACAAGTTTCAGCATGTAAGCAGTGATTTTACAGGATAGACAGGAAACCTTATTGCCACAGCTGAGCACAACGTCTCAGTGAGAAAGCAGCCTGCCTGATGTGCAAACCCAGTGGGGAAGTGTGACAGCTCTGCTTTCCTCTCAAACCCACTTGGCTAAGATCATGCACAGCGCATTTCAGAGAGGTAATGTTTCACTTCCCAGCACATCTTACCTGATGGACAAACACATCTTCCTTGGTGTCATTCCTGCAAGACAGCACAGAACAGAAATTCAGATGTGAGACAAGCAGTGTACTGGCCCAGTGTGAAATTCAGTTGTTTAGGGGTGAGGTGAAAGCAGGGAAGCGCCAGGACAAGCAGCTGTCAGCACCGCACTGCTCAGCATGCTCTAAGAGGAGGCTGCTTCAAAGAAACGTTTTCTGGGGGCCTGTGCATAGAGTACGTGCTGATGTTCTGTCAGTCGTGCAAATGTGTTTTTTTCTCCCTCCCCACATAACCCACTACTCTGCACCTCCACCAACAGAGGCTCAGAGGAAAAACACCCAACAGCAGGCAGCCCGTCACTTGGGATTGCACAGTGGAAGATGTGACATCACAGGCTATGAAAAGCAGCACGCACGGCCTGCTTCCCCAGCTCCATTTCCTGCAGGCTGCATCGATGAACGTTCCACGAGGGCAGCAGCGTGGCTGACAGACAGGCAGGGCACAGGGAGCTTCCTCCTCTGCAGTTACTCAGCACAGCCCCAGCTGCCTTCACGCTGCTGCAGAGCTGTGCTCACCACTCACAGGCTGCCTGCAGCCCGACCCTCAGGCTCACATCACACAGCTGAGCCTCGCTGTAGTGTCACTTCAAGTCATTCCACAGACCAATGGATCAACTACAGAGTGCCTTTTATTTCCTAGAATGTGTATTACAGGCACAGCCAGTGCTGCAGTGCTCATAACTGGACTCATTTAAAGCCAGTCACTCCTCACCATGGCTTTAACACATGGCAACAATTCTGTGAACAACTCAATCCGACTTACAGCTGCCCTGTCACACAGCACCACACACCCGTTTCCTTGTGGAACTGATGCCTGCAAATACTGCAGACCTCAAAGCTGATAGAAAGCAGTTAATCCAGTGGGCTACAGAACCTGATCCTCAGGAGGCAGCTCAGCCCCAACCCCACCAGGCAGCACCCAGAAGCTCTTACAAAGCCTAACACTTCTGTTCACAACACGAAATCTCAGATGTTCCAGTAACTGAGGACCCTGAGGGAAGCCCAGAGCCCGCCTTCAGTCCCAGTGCTTGCATTTGTTGAGAGCACAGTAGTGATAAGTGCTCACCATCCATGCTCTTCAAGTGTGGATGCTCTACACACTCCTCCCAAGCCCCATTCCTGCAAGCACATCAGCTTCTCCTCATTTCATTTAGAGCCCTTTCTACATCACAGTTCCCATTGAAGAGCACAGTGGAGTTCTGGCTCAGTAAATGACTGTTACATTGAAGCAGATCAAGGTGGAGACGTGATTTATCAAAAACCCTCCTAGTTCATTCTAAAACCCAGTGTCTGCCACAGGATTTCTGCACTAAGC